TGTGTATTGAAAGTAATTTTGAAGCATTATAAATTGTTTTTGATACTAAATACCAACTTCTTTTCAAGCTATGATTAATGGTGAAAATAGTCAAGTTTCCTAGCGTAATTATTTTTGTCAATGCCCTACAGGCCCACCTACTTAACTCATATTGAACCATTGCTGTTGTATTTATGATCTTGTTAAAATGTGTTGCTTGTAGAGTAAATAAATAAACTTATATTGCAATCATAATGTTGACTTATTTTTGTTTAATATCAACAAAACAACAGGGTGGCGCCATCTTGCCTCTAATTTGACAAGTCCCACCAACCGATCACACGGCCAACCTAACAACACAAAACTAAAAAAAAACCCAGCAAAAACAGTGGTACGTTTTTTAAACACAGATTGGTGACTGCAGTTATTATTATAGCTCAGTGCTCACCACCAACCAGACCACCGACTATCTAACTACAACAGCTAGAGATCCTCCTCTGCCTTCTGCTTACGTTTACACTCCTACGCGCTTACAGAAATAGTTATTTGTGTAACTAGTGGTGAAAGTGGCACTTTGCTGCACACGAGAGCAGGAATGATCTCGAGTGCAGCAAAGGCCTTTTTCACTCGTGTTACACATTATATTTTTCCTACAGTCACTATAAAGCATATAAATAATTAGTCTTTCAAACACTATACAACACGTTTTTAGGTTCAGCTGGCAACACAAATGGTGCCCTAGAGAAAGTAGTACCCGCGGTCCGTATCACTCCGCTATTTTTCCTCGGCAAGAAATGTGCTCCGCGTTTTGAGAATATAGTTCCGTATGTTTTTGTAATTTGAAGTGGTTTCCGCGCCTTAAAAAAAATGCTTTAAAGGTATTTTCTTGTTTATTAAGATCGTAGGAATGTTTTAAAAACGTTTAAAAGAAAAGTCCAGAAAGTTCAGAAATACCGAAACTATAAACACGAAATGACAGGTTAAATCGTAGTTATAGTAGTCAATCAGCTGCTCATAGTATTATTATCTTTAAGTGTTGCCAACCTATTTCCAAGCGTACACGGATTACGTGCATAATAGAACCACGCTGTTTTATGTTGTTTCGTTGGAATCCTGATGTGCGGCAAAGTATAAACCGTATGGCAAAGTATAAACCATACGGCAAAGTATAAATATGCAGCAATTAGCAGCTTTCTGTACCATAAACAGTACAAGGAAGCCAACTTTGTCGGGTGACTGTAGGAAAAATAATTTTCTTACTTCTTGTATTGTATTGACACTCTTGAACGTTCCTAGACCCTACTAATGCCAACGAGAAAATGTGTATTTTCAGTTTGTTCTAAAAAAAATCAACACAACTCCAACCACAACTCACTTGCTGCTAGAGAACCTTTCTACACCGAAAAAGAATTCATCTCATGACCTTAAAATATAAAATGTTTCTGTAACCCACCTGTAAATATGACGCTGTACTATTCCCAACTAATATATCAATAAATAATTGTCTCAAATAAAGTATATTGTCTTATAACAGGATTTTTAAACATTACAAAGAACTGTAATTTTGGAGAAATGTTCATATCAAAGTCTCCTTAGAATAATGTTAAAATAGGTGTTTCACAAACACGATATCTTGAGTAGAAATTATCTAGTTTATATGAAATTTGGTTAATATGAGTAAATCTACATTTATTTGAACGAGGTCCCAAATAAAAAAAAACCATTGGCGACCTGTTTATAGCAGACAGGTTGACAATCAGGCCCATAAAGATTTATGGTGGCTAGGTCACCAAACATGGCTTTATGTCATGTTTGTGTTATAAAAGATTTTTCTAGAATGAAAAAAAAATTGTTTTTAGAGCAAAATGTATTACTAGTCTGAATATGTTTGTTTGTAGTAGGCTACAGTGATGAGTTTTACCTGATATTTACCTCAATCTGCTTGCACGAACTTGCAGGTCGGACAGTCCCAAGATAGATTAGAACCTCGGAACACCGGGAGGGTGTCCAGTAACTAGAAACACAAAACATCCGTCACATTGTGCAATGGAACACTGTCAAGTCACTTAACCTAGCTCAAACCCTACGTTAAAGTTATAATCTTACAATTGCAACCAGTAACTAATTGAAAATAAGCGCTATGTGAAAACTAGGAACGACAAAGCATTACGATTAAAAGCATCGCAGAACAGCCAGTATTAGGTAGAAGGCCCTATGAGGCTAACTCGAAATCAAACCAAATAATATAAAGCAATGAGGTGAATTAATGAAAAACAGACTTGTGTTAATATTAGCGATACCAGTATAACTTAAGAGATTGTAAACTGTACATCCAAGTCTAAGCAGTAGTGATGAAGAGTAGCACCAAATTTAAATTTGACAACAGTATTATAAGGGGGTTTAAAGAATTTTATTGTTATTTTTGTCACATTTGACACTGACTAAAAACAAAATTAAACATTAAAATAAAGCTAAATAAAATAATAGATACATACCGCAACAATACTTTAAGCCACTGTGCAGGTGTACCACTTACACTTTGGTGTTTCTTCAGATTTTATCTGATGGAAAACTTTCCGATAAAAACTCTTTAGGGTTGAAAAGACTGAAAAACTTCGCAGTAATGTTTTGAGCACATTACATCTTTTAATCGTTTATTTATTGACACATTTGTGTACATAAGAGATATATTTAAGACCAGCGTGTATTAAATTTATGTTCAGCCATAAAAAAAATTTTTTGCCATAGAAAGAAATGTTTTTAAACAGTCAAGGCAAGATTATTTGTAGAAATCCCTTTTACACCATAGTATAGCAAATTTCACTTCCAGATATCAAAGTAAATGTAACTACTGGTTAGTTAGCCACTGATATTGCAAGAGCTTGCCAACTACACTACAATACACCTAGAATCAATACCACAACTGAGTCATTTAATTATTCAATTTTGGCTAAAATATATTAAACAAAAAATACCTTCAATATTTTTTATTAATAAATTTTACTGTAGTACTTTTGATTAGAATGGGAAGTTTAATCTCACTGTTTATTCAAAAAGTGTACCATTGAGGAGAAAAGTGTTCTGTAGCCTCAAAACTAGGCACATAGAACAAATTGTCTGTTTAAAATTGTTTTTATCATGTCTTTTATTCTTAGAGGTAAAGTTGTAATCTCAGAAAATCACCTTTGTTTATAAATATATTTTAATAATTTTTGAATTTTAGATGAGAAAATTACTACCTCAAATTACAGAGTATTTTTTTGCATTAATTTACTTCAAACCTTGCTTTCAAAACTATGGAGGCAGAAAAAAAAAACTTCAAGAAAACATGTTTTTAAGTTGTGTTTATCCTAAATATGTTATCGCTTTGTCCCAATGACAAAAGGTTGATGTTTTCCTTGTTTAGTGAGTGTTTTACTTATCTTCATAATGAAATATAATAAACCTTCTGTGCTCAGACCAAGATATTTTCTAAGTCGTAAGTTGCATTACACAATACAGTACTGCATTTTATACAACTCATAACCATAGCTTTTATAAGGGCGTCACTTCATTTCATTGTACCTAGTACAGAATGGAAATATCTGTATACTTCAAACATATTTTCTTGCAAACAGCATATGGAAATTATACTTGGAACAATTATTTACACTTATATTTAAATATATTCTTATAATGTTAAGTATACTTTCTAGTATAAAAAACCATTTTGGTGATTTTAATACTTTTTTAATAGAAACACCATCTTGTAATATGCCAAATGATTTGGATATTCTTGGTATTACTCTCAACTATACATTATTCTCTTTGTTGATCGTAATAGAAATATTAAAAGTTTTAATCTGTTTCTTGGCAATATATATATCGTAATTTAAGGCTACAGAATATCTTGAGGTTTAAATATCTTGACTAATGTTGTCATGAAACTTTCCTAGTACAATCTAAACTATTTAATCATAGTACTGATCATATAAATATTGTGTTTTTACTGTTTTTATATTTCATCACGTTTCAAAGCCACAACCCTCCATCAATTTAGAAAGAACATTGTTTTAAAATATTTGCAGTTTTCAGTTTTCAATTTCATATTAATTTGTATAGCAGACTGTAAAACCACTGTAATACTTTAAGTCACCAGAAAATGACTTTTTCTACAGAAAATCAGAATATCTTATAGTGTTTGCGTTGAAAATCTGACAAAACACCTTGTCCTATATAAATGACTCAAGTAACCTAAAATCATGCAAAAAGCAGTATACGGCTGGACATTGTACAGAAACCATGCAGATTTAAAACATTGAGTTTTAATTTACTTACTTTGACTTACTGCATTAAAGCATATTATGTAATGTTAAAATCCAAATTTCATACTTTCAAATAATATTTCAACATGCACTTTAAAATCACAATTACAGCGTAAATTAAAGTATACAATTCCAGAAGTATATGCTTTTTGAATGATCTTATCGTTATATATTAGCTATGTATTGCTTGGTCTTGTGAAGTCCTAGTTACAAACAAGTAGGTAATGGAATAGTTCAAAATTTAACTTTTTTAGTTGTACAACTGTACGCAACTTTTGGAACAATTTTACTACTATGCAGCCTTTGTCTTGAGTCACTGTGTTCAATGTGTATTAATTTGTGTGTAATTTTTATACAAATAATTTATGAGGTTTACTTATTTTTGCCTCGTTTTAGAAATATGTTGAAAAACTGAATCATACAGATTATTTATAAGTGAAGTAAACTCCTGTTCTGGTCATGATTGAATGTGAGGCTATGAGTCCTGACGTTGCAGTTAGTATTAGTCGAGATTGCGTACCTGCACAAGCTTTGGGTGCATAAGTCAAGCGTTCATGCGCACAAACACCAAACAGCGTGCCTCCGTCGAGACTTACTTGTGGGCAGTCTCACTGCGTGAAGAAATCAAGCGGGAAGCAACAGATTATCACAAGATGGCTAACAATAACCTGTACACGGGGCTGGAGAGGGGAAGGGAGAAATAAACAAAGCACGAGATTAATTGAAACCAATAATCATGCATTTCTTTTACTCGGTAGCAATAAGATTAATACATAATACTGAACCGACACGTTACAGGCATGAGTGGAGTAGCGTTTTGACGCACATCCGACTCACATAACCTTAATACTCTGCTAAGCAGGTTAAAATATAAATATATAAGACAGCTAGACACTGTGAACAGTGTAACATAAACACAAACGATAAAATATAACGAACCTACGGTACATGGACCAAGCCGATGTAGGTACTTTTGTTAGGTTAAAGATACATTAAGTGTACAACACATCACAAAATACTCTAGAATGTATCATGTCGATTATATACATCTCTTCACACCATTTAGTTTAACGCTATAATGACTATATTTTACCTAATGTTTAAATAACACAGATTTAATCCTTGTCGATGTACTTATAAATGTATGTCGTGTTTAATGTATATGCGAGTGTAAATGTAATCGGTGTTTTTAAAATTACAACGAGTTTATCGATCGTCCTACATTTAACTTATACACTTGTATGACAATAAATATGGAAAACGGTGCATTTGGACGTGTAAACACAGTTCCGGTGTCGAATGGAAGCAGCCTATGCATGCCATTGCATCGATTGAGAAGGCACTTAACCAGTAAAATGTTAGGTCCGTTCTTTTAGCGCAGCCTCAATCGGCAAACGAAAGAAATCAAACCAAAAGCAAGCAAGACTTTAACTAGTAGCAGAATTATCAAGCATATATCAACACATAGTTTAGCGATATTCATCGAAAGATGATAACAACAACAGGCAACTATTCTAGGTGGAAGGAAATGAAGATATATTTAACACTCAACAAAGTCTACAACAACTAAAGTTTATAAACGACTATTTACGCTAAGTCACTAAATAACTTATATAGTTTACGGTTTAATATTTTTAATAGTGCATTGCACTCTTAAGTGTACATCACTATTGACAATTCCACCGTCGATAGTATTTAAACATAAAAACAATTTACAGAAACAAAACAATAACATAATAATATTTAACAAAATGTCGCTAATACATTACAAGATTAAGGTCTGACCTTAACTACACTTTGGTTTTGTTTGATTTCTAACATTGCCGCATTGAAGACCGTTTAAAAATCAATTGTTCGATAAATAAATGAGAAATTCACCGGAAAGCGGAGAGCAGTCAGAGTATAAAATTTAGGAGAACACAAAATGCAAGGGGAACAACAACCATGCCACCCTCTTTCAGCCCACTATATTTACATTCGAAGCTGTGAGTGAACAAGCAAAACGATAGTGAATTTTCCAAACCTAAAAGAACGAACCTACAACGCTAATACTACAAAACCTTCAAAAATGCACATGTTAAACTTACAACAAACTAAAAACATAAAACTCGGACACGGTCAAATTTTTTCGGAAAAATTATAAGTTCATATTTATCCGCGGGCACTAGCGAACTATAGGAACACTAATATAGACACATCTGACATCGAGGCTAAGATACATTCGATCACAGTGTTCTCAAGTGGTTTTCATTTTTTTGTACGGCTGCAGTTCATCGTCGTTGTTGTTGTTGTTGACTGCGGCCAGCAGGTCGGAGATGAGTGCCGGGGGGGCAGTGGATGTGGAGGGGGGATAGGCTGGTGGGGGTACGGGGGGACGCATAGAGGCTAGAGCAGCCAGGTGGTGATGGGTAAGGTGGGGTGGGGGCTGTTTGTTGAGAGGCACCCCAGTAAAGGCAGCTAGGGGCGCAGTGGTGGGGGGGGCCCGGTACTCACATGACACGGGGACGAACGGCTGCAACAGTTGCTGGTACGTGGCCGAGGGTTGGTACACAGGAACTCCGGACTTGTCCCCGGCCGCTCGCTTGTACGGCACCATTCCGGGGAAGGCCTGCAACGGACATACAACATCAAAGATTATTACACACAGAAACTCGTAAGTTATTGTAAAGTAAAATTGTTTATTATAAACTGTATTTCAGTTAATTAATCTATTTGTAAATTTTAATGTAAATAGACCTAACATGGTGGATGACATGAACAAGTCAACTGGCCAGTAGCGTAGCAAGGCAGAGCCAGGTGCCAGCCTATTGGGGGGGGGGGGGGGGGGACGTTGAAAAAGTCCATCTTAATTGAGATTGGTAAACATAAGGGTTTAAATTAGAGGCATGCAGTAGCTTGATTTTCAAACCAAGCTAAGCGTATAACATAAAAGTTCGACTGATCGAGAACCGATTAAAATAAAAACAAGCTGAGCCCAGCATTTATTCTAGGAATACTATCACAATCGCAGAAAGTGTCTGCAAAGATAGCACAGTCTAATTTTAGACCATCGTATATTTATGCGATGTTGCCCCAATCACAGGAGACATTGATAAAGACTCAATGTCCCTTCAACCATAAAATGTTCACGGTTTACGGTAGATGATGATAAAGTCCCCGCCATTTTGGAAAATGATCATGATTTCATCAGGATCATACTGGGAATTATCAGATAGTGCTAATAACCTGCTCAATCACCTATTGTAGATACTGTTTAACTAGCATTGAAATTAAGTTTATAGGCTCATTCATTACTGGGAGGGACATTCCATACTCTTCAAGAAACCCGCTTAAAGGCCCTCGCCAAGGCGTACTAAGTAACATCTGCCACAAAACAAAAATACCTTGCTACGCCACTGTTACTGACCCAAAATATATCTCTACCCTTCTAGTATATTTATTTATTAAATTTAGTAAAAGTAACTACCAGCATAATCACAACTGACATCTCCTAAGGTGAAGTGATGTTACTACGTATTCTCCGCCCCTAATAGATATTTGAACATAAAACAATGGATCTGTTAACTACAATAAAATCAGTTTTAAAATATAACCAGTCTTACGTGATGTATGCACAAACATCTGTCATATACCTAAAAGTTAACAGGTTCACTACCTGATGTCACACTACTCTAGGGAATGTGACACCTGACACCTTAGGGAATGTGTTAATTGTATCCACTGATTCACAATATGTTAGCAAGATAAAAAACTGTAATAAAGCATTAAAGGCATTTAAGGTACTATAAATAACACATATTTCAGTTGAAACAGCTATTTTTAAAAGAACGCTTTTAAATAGACACCACCTCCTGATCATCAAATTCATAAACCTTTTCCGAATTAAGTTTTAACTCACAATGTTTGTGCATACATTAAACAATTTCAAATCATATGCTCCTTAAGACACATCATTGGCAAACTGTTGTAAATACAATCCAATCAGAGATTTAAAAAAACAATTGAAATAGTCTTTTAATACTTGTACATTCAAAGAAAAGATGAGGATCTCTGGTTGCAATGAAGCAAATAAAATGATTAGAAAAACTCATTCCATTATGTAAAACCTCATGTTTTATAATTTGATATGACAAAGGAACGTATTAGCGTTAAGAAGCGAGTGAGAATGAGAATGTTTTATAAGTGTAATAAATGAAGAAGCTGTGGAGATTATAGCAACCAATGTGAACTTGGATGGTGCAAAATGCAAGAAACATTTGCTTACAAATTGGTTAAAAAATAATAATATTATCATGCTAGTATAATAGTATAGCTTGCTTGGGTCACTCAACCATTCATAAATTTTAATGATCTGAAGTTAATATGGGACATATTCATCCTGGGGTTTCATCTTAAGGTAAAAACGTTTAGATGCATATTATGAACTATTGCATAATTTATTGTAATAAATGTGAGAAATGTGAACTATATGATTGCAAGCAATTGTCAAGCCAAACATGAGGTATGATGTAGAAATAAATTACTAAAAATCCTATACTATAATGTGAGCAAAGTCTGTTAGTCTGCCTGTAATATATATCTCAAAATCCAGCAGAAGGATTTTGATTACATTTTGCAATTAGGGACTTGTAGCCTTAAAAAAATGAACTTGTAAACCACGTACGATAATTTATTCACGATTATAATAATAATTTTTATTAACTAAAAAGCGTTGTAGTTATAATGTTGAATTCACCACCTAATAGAAGACTTGCTTAGTTAATTATACAGTACAAGGATAAAAGTGTAAAAGGCTCATGATTTCTTTGTAAATCCCCAGAAATTCGTGTGAGGTTATTTTAATTTTGTAAACCTTATTTTTGGAGCATTGAATTATTTTTTGGGGGTTTTAAGGGTTTTTTTTAGGAGATCTTCAAAAATGTTTTCAGACACTGTCATAAGAAAATGGCAAAATAAGAGTTCTACAAGTAAATGGATTCTAAGAAAAGATACAAGATTAATTTTTGGTTTTTGTTTCATAGGATCATACATTAAATTGGATTGTTTTACAGCTCTAGCAGCTAGATATATAAAATATTTAGACCTAAATGAAAATGATACAAAATTAATCTAACAAATTATTCTATAACGTTCTGTTCTGGTTCGGAATTTGAGCTAAAAAAGTATTAATAAAACAAGTAAAAAAAAAACTCCTACATTCAAAAGTGTAAGTAAAAGGAAACCAACAAAACCACTTTACAAATCATCATTAGGGGTTGGGTAGTACTTCCAATTTAATAAAAGTATCTAATTAACAAACACTACCAGAAATTCTCTGAAGTTTTCTGAAAGCCAAAGGATATCTGAGGGGACAGCAAAGCGTTCTGCCTTCACTTAGTATATTAACCACACCATGCATACAGTTTACTCTTATAACTTCTCGCTGTTTCAAGTGCCTTTCGAAATAACGATTGTATGAATAAAATTAACCAATACGCTAAAACTATTATGTCCTCCAAAACCGTTGCCAGAGACTTTACTGCCTCGGCATCGACTTTGGCGGAAGAGGAATAACAGAACTTACAAAATTTTCGTAGTAGAAGGAACCGACACTTTTCATGTCCATCTGAAACAGTGAGAACGGCAGCGCGTGAGACAGGGGACCAACCTCACGCCATGTAAACTTGTACAGTCACGAGGTTAACTACGTTACTTCTACCAGCACCTGACGTGACTGTCAAGAACATGGCATGCTACTCATGTGCAAGATTAGTTAGCAGAAAGCCTAGCTCATGCTCACAACCAGAGATCTACTTGCAACATTGGTTTTGAATTACTCAAATTAGTAAGTCGATATTAAAACTGTTGTACTTTAATGAAACTAAACGAAGCGAAATAAAAGTGTATGTCGGCTACAGAATTATAGTAAATAAAGCGTGGTCACATGACAATAGCCAAACGACACATTACTGTGTGAGTGACTAGGCCTACTGGAGCGATAGCCAACTACTAAAGTATTTACTTAAGCTGAAGAATCGACCCGTGACCTCAATCTAGACATTCGATTAGCGGTCATAGGCAGCCAAAACTACAAACACTTACTATAAGAAAGAGACAGAAAAGAGAGGAAAAGAATAGAAAGGTGTGCTAAGCCATGTGACCCTGCTTTGTTCTAAACTAAACGAGTCAAGCAGCTCTCAGATTGTCTTTTGGAAAAACTATCGTTCGACTTAAGTACACTTTACAGAAATTATTCTATTCTAAGACGGCTTCTATTGAAAATAATAAGTGTAACTATTTAAATTGAAAGAAATAAAAAAAAGCTGTGACTCGTAATAAAATCTAACTTGACACTAAAAAACCCTGATTCTAGCCAGCCTTTTTTTAGAATCAGCCATTTCAAGTTAATAAACGAAATTGCTCAAGTGAAATCACTAACATAATGTTTGTTTTAAAATCTTAAATGGCTGAAAGTAAAAAATTCACACAGTTTATTACAAATTTGTGACTACAACAATAATTTTACTTCTACCATTAACAAGCCCAAAATTGTTTAGTTATAAGAACAGATTATTATATATTTTTACTATTTCAATGAGTATGGAATAATTTACATTGGTACAAAAGTCAATGGGAGCTAAACATCTATTACTAATTAAAAATGTGTATAAAAAAATCACTATTTTATAAAGATTTTTGCTTTTGTTAAATTGACCTAATTGCTACAAATGCAGGATAAAAATTGTTTTAGATTGATTTTTAAAATTCAGTTAAAATAAAATCATTGAGTTTCAATTTAATTAAAGAAATCCAATTTTACAATTCCTGCAAGTGTGATTCAGAATTGATATATTACAAACAAAACAACATGGTGACATGTAGATGATAAACAGCATGCCTGAGATAAAAATATAACTTAATATAAAAATTTTAGAGGGAGTTTGGCCATTTCTCACAGGTTTTAGATACAGTTGGTCACTTTCACATAAGTTTTAGAGGGAGTTTCTCCACATCACACAAGTTTTGGAGGGAGTTTGGCCACTTCACACAAGGTTTAGAGGGAGTTTATCCACATTACACAAGTTTTATAGGGAGTTTGTCCACTTCACCCAAGTTTTATAGGGAATTTTTCCACTTTACAGAAGTTTTAGAGGGAATTTTGTGACCACTTCACACAAGTTTTAGAGGAGGTTTGACCAGTTTATATAAGTTTTAAAGGGGGTGTGACCACTTTCAACAAATTTTAGAGGGGGAGGGCTGGCTAGAACGGTGGTGTGAAGTGCAAAGCAAGATGTACCAGTAGCAGGTCATCACTAGGGTCCCGATGACGTTTCCTTGGCTCAGAGGTTGCGACTGGCAGGCCCAGCACACTCGGCTATTAGTAAGCAGCAAGCCAGGGGGACAGCCAACAAAAAAATAACAGTCAAACAAAATATAATAAAATAGTACCAGTGGAGCATCTGCAGCCTGCAGTGTCAAGTAAACATGCCTGGAATAGAAAGGTTAGGGCCTGGCGCCGCCCGTATGTACACTGTACAGCAACTACCAAGGGGACTTGAACTAACATTTCCTTACTACTGTTGGGTGTGGGATTTGAATAAACATTTCCTAACTACTGTTAGGTGTGAGATTTGAATTAACATTTCATAACAACTGTTAGCTATGAGTTCATATTGTCAATAAAATGTTTAGGGCTGAGGGAGGTTTTAAGTACTTTTTCTTAATTCTTACAGCTATAATTAATTGTTTCACAAGTTCTTTTCCCAGTTTTGATGGCAGTTTTTATATTTGTTTACTTTGAATTTTAACCCTGCATCACAACATTGTCACCTAATACTATTGTTCCATCAATACTTACTCGAGCGAACATGTGAGACGTTCAAATATTAGTAATATTTACAACCCTATATGTACACATGCCAGGTTTATTATTCAAATTACGGAGGTTAGCGGTTCAACTTTACTGAGCGGGAACGGCACCAGGGTTCACAATCTACAAACAATTCATGCAACTTGTGACAACGAAAGCCGAGTCGCAAGCAGACTCAGGGAACAATCAACACATTAGTAGAGGCTGAAAACACAATAGATTATAAGTGTATACTGTAGTACCCTTGCTAACAAGCCATCGGCTAGTGTGGCAGTGCAAAGTGATATGTCGGCTACCTAGACCTAGGCTTACGCTACATACTTGCCGTCCCGTCCTGTAGAGCTAGAGAACAAGTTAGGACAGAGAGGACTACTGAGAAGAACACAAATACATTTATCATTCTGAAAACAGAGTCGACCCTTTTGGGAACCAGGAGCCAAACAAAGTGATAAATAACACCGACCTTGCTCTTACTTGCAAAACACACATTGTTATACGGTGTGAGTTACAGTAAACATTTTTGACACTAAAGGTTTGTCTAGCTAAAACTATGGATGGTGCTAGTGGGTAAAGCGATTTACATGCAGAATTGGTTTGGATGAAAACCATTGTTTTTCATAAAAAGTCTTTTATGAGAAGTTTTCTAAAAATAAAAATAAAGTGATGAGATTTTCCAACCTAAATTATCTGTAAGAAACTCAAATAAAAGTGATTAAATTATGTCTTATGGTATAGGTCTTTTAAGTAATAGACCCATTATATATAAACTGTCTTGTTTGACATAAACTTTGTATGTAAATAGTAAGATTATCAAATGTATGTTGTATATGACTGGTGCAATCTGTCCTCTTCGTTTCAATTGTATAATTTGTTAATGTTCATCAATAAATGTATCTATATAGGTCGTAATAAACCAAAGTGAAAAAATGCAAGAAAGAGCAAACCGCAACTGTCACATTGAATAAAATACTACAGTAACTCTGAAGGAAAAGAAAATAAATCCCAATGGAATGGAAATTATTAATGTTGACAGTATTTACAATATGTTAGACCATTTCTTTAAGCCGAATATTTTTTTTTAAAGAAAATCAATGATTGGCTGCAAGGACTAATGAAAAAATAATAAAAACAGCTGGTTCCTAAGAGGGTCAAGGTTAAGCAAGAGTTGATAGAGCTTAGGCTTGTCAGCAGGGTTAGTCTGAGCGGCTCCACCTTCAAATAATCGTTAACTTTCTCAAAATATTGTGAAACTTTTTAAAATTCGATTAATTAGGTACTTATTGGATTGAAAATAAATGTAATCAGGCGATAATCCAAATTTCCCCTGTTTTCATATTCTAACAGAAGGAGCCGCTCAGAGTTGCAGAGAAGAAAATAGAAAAGCATTTTTTGGTGGTGAGCTTCTAAAACACCACCTGATAGCGAAGAGCAACCACTTGGAAAACCACCGGTGAAACATGGGCAAAGAAAACCACTAGAGGAATATAGTTTTTTCAGGAATCGAAACTATTACAAATCAAACACAAATACTGACTGTGCTAACACCCAAATATTTCCCACAATTCTGCGTGCTACTGGTAACTTTGCCTGGATATGTTATAGGTATTTTGGTAGGCGAAAAAAATAATTACATCACAAGATGATGTATAGCTATTTACGTTACAAGTGTAGTAAGAGCTTTTTACATCATACAGGTGAATATTGTGCAACAAGCGGAAGCGAGTTGCATAATTCACCTAAGTGATGTAAACACGCTCTTAAAAAAAAGTGACTAAACTATATTCATCCTCGTTCTCTCTCTAGTAAGAAATGAGCTACCTAACTCAATACCATCATTCAATTTCCTTTACCATTTTTAACCACCCTAAGGGTTGAAAGTAAAAAAAATACTTAGATTTTTACAAACTTTGTTGTTTATAAACACCAAGAAGGAAGAATGCTTTCTCAAGGAAGGAATTCTATAAGCAGGTTACGATAGCAATTATTATTGTACAAAGGAATTACCATGACAAAAAAATGTGAAAGATAATTTTGGGGAAAATGTGCTAAAAAATCTCCATAGTGTTTGAAGGGCAATGATGAGGTGTGCACCCAGATGGGGTTGCTGAGAGAGTTTTCAAAGTGGTTGCTCGGAAAAGGTGAGACTACTCCTACCGAGTGTGCGGCCTTGATATGGGCTTGTAGGTGCAGGGGTGGGTGGAAATAGCGGCAAGGGTCGCGAGAGCATCGCCCCTTGACAGCGTCCATGCAGACAGTGACAGTTCCGTCGGGAGCTGTGGAGCTCGGGTCTGCGGGGTGAGCAAAGCGGCACTCGAGACGTTTGCACGAGCCACGCTGGAACTCGCGACACACCTACGTCCGCCACCACAGCTCAGCCATAACCCCAGCCACAACAGGGCGACTTCAAAGTGGTAAGATCTGGCCCGCGCTCGACAAACGGCAAAATGGGTTGATAATGCATCGATTTACAGTTTGAAAAGGTGTTTTCGTTCGTTAAAACTTTAAGGCTACCGTTATTTACTAAGTGACAAACTTAGGGCAGGTAGAGTAATGAAACCTGAAATTACTAGATTTTAAGAAAATTAGCCTTTCTGCTATGGGCGAATCCATTAGGGGCTAAATACTTTCCTTTGAGGTGTCATATGTAAACAAATATGAATTTAAGAAGTTGAATTAAGTTTTAATTTTACTCTACGTAAAATTTTTTTTTCAAAGAAGTACAGAGTAGTTTTTAATTCAAACTTACCTTATTGTAAAGCTAATTGCAAAAATTCAGCAAGGTCCAGTACATTTTACTGTTTGTTATTACAGTGCAATACTTTGCTATTCTAGATTGCCCCAAAATACATTTTTACAGTTCAAATATTTCCCACGAAAATGATTCCATACCCCCAAGATATTATTTGAAATCAACCCCTGTTCATATGCCTGGATCCGCCCATGTCTTCTAACAGTTTTGCAAAATCGCCTTTCCCTCCAGCCTTGAAATACAGTTCCGATATCTTACCAGTTTAAAGCACCCTGAGAACTATTCCCAAAAGTAATGTACATTATCCCAATGAGTTAGTATCAATGACAGTAATAAGGGAAGTATAAGCATTCCTAATTCTGCACTTTTTGTAAGGGACCAATGCAATTTGACAGCACAATGTTGTAAATCTGGCTTTTTCGGGTAAACATATTTTGTGTTCTTGTAAATTACTTGGTGCCTACTTAGTATTATAACGTAAAGAAAACTTTGTATTATGAAACGGAGTTGTAAATCAAGAATTTATTTTACACTACCTACCACTTTTCTTTTTTTTTCAGTAAATCTTTTGCTTTTTGAGTGGTTGTGTCATTTAAATTTGGCTATTAAAATCTCTGTCTCAAAGTTTATTGTTTTTGCAATTATTTGATGGTTCTATTTAATAAATTGAACATTTGTAAACATTTTATAGTCTCCTCAAAAGTAATTTCTTAACCAAACTTGTCTATTCTCAAAATGTTGAGCAAATCACAACCTCTTGTAACATTACATTATCAAAATAGAAAAAAAAACCTGCAACTTGCAATCAGGTTCAAGTAACTATCTAGGTACTTTAAACGGTTCATAGTCAAACCAAGATAAGTATAAAGTACAAACCACCGATAAAGCATTATAAATACTGAACATTTTAATCGACTTGTATTGGACGTCCAACAGCAGTGGTGGCTGGCGAGTAGGCGGGGGTTACATTCACTACGGGGAAAGCGATGAAACAGAAAGAGACAGTGTGTATATAGTGCATCAGTACTGAGTAAGATAGAGAGAGCGACATGCTGGTCAGCCAAGGGCCAAGGGTAATAGTCCTCTCTCCTAGACTATGTACAAGGTCCTACTTAAACCATAGGGTGGCAAAGGATAAACAAGAAATCAACAAAATAAACAACAAAACACAACAAGCGGCAATTAATAGAAACAAACGAAGTAACTCAATCCACATCCAGGACTACATCCTGCAAAAATCATAACTACAGTCAAATTAGTGATAAGTAAGAAATCATACTAAATACCAAAGGAACAGAACAAAACCAAAAGAAGTTATAAGATAAGAATGAGCTTGAGTTGCTAAAAGTTATGTTTTCCTTATTCCAGAAAATGTTTACTTTTTGTTGATTATCAAAGCCATGACACAGAAAACTATTTCACAAAATTTTAACAGAAATTTTTTAAACATTTCACCAATCTTTTAAACACTTATAGTCTGAATTATCGTGAGGACATGCTTTACAAGTGAGAAATCCCCTCCAGCAACTTTAGCTCTCAAAACTAAAAGAAACTAAATAGTGGGCAGTCTATCTTCAAAGTTTAGTGGAAGTGTATGAAGTAGGACCTACCTCGAGCCTATCTGACCGAGGCATTTTCTGTTGCGTGACGACCGTCTGCTGGACCATTCCAAGCTGAGTGGCGGGGTCGGGCCCCATCATTGCGGGGATGATGGGGGGAGAGAAGTACGGAGAAAATGTGGAGCCGACCTGCGGCATGCCGAGGTAGGGGTTCGTTGCCTACAGAACACAAAAACTGTTAGCAAACACTTGTAAACAGCTGTTACTCCAATCAGTAGGAACTGCAAGGTATGTGTTTAAGTACCAACAATGAAAACGGATAGTATCAGACCTTAGGACCATGATTTTGATAAAAGAGAATGTGATTGTAATTTTTTGACATTTTTAAAATTGACTCTATTGTTTTGAGGACTAAATAAGGTCTTCCCTTGTTTAACCTCAAAGTTTTAGCTTCAACAAACGTCAAAAAGAGTGGTGAAATATTGAGCAATTCTTTTTTCACTTTCGAAAATGGCAAACTTAAAGACTCTTTCATTGAAAGAATAATCAAATAACAAACGAACCACTGTTAAAATGTTGTACAAAAAAGTGAGTCTAAGATGTTAATTTTGAAGCCGATAAAGCTCAAAATGACATGTTGTACAAAGCGTATGATACTGTGTTAATATGAGGGTGATTCAAAATACATCAAAGATTCTCTTACAATGCTAAACCACGTATATTTTTATCGACGAAAAAGATTATCAAAACATTTTAATTTAACATTTTAACAGTATCCAAACATTTTAAAAATTTGATCTTCAGGTCTGATACTCATATAAAACTTCCAACAGCATATGAACAACAACAAGATAAATATACTTTAGGATAAAATTACATAATGCAATACCAATGTAGTTACGGACAGTTTTGTGAACACATAATACCAAATTGAATCATCATGATAATTAACATCCAAATTCCATTGTTATGAAACTATATGCATCAGGTTTGATTATTTTAAGTTAAAGTATTACAAACTAAACAAACAGATACTCAAACATGAAAATTAGTCTTTATAGAGTGAAAGAAGACAAACTAATATTATTGAGATCCTAAATGTTAAGCAAAATAATGACACTTGATACTGTGATAGTCATGCTTTAAGCCAAGCTCTAAGTGGTAACTATTAAAAGCATTCATGCAACCATAGTTAAATTGTGAGAATTACCTACTTTATAGTGAACAAGTTATAATTTACTTTATATTCTGAGGTTTGTCTCACATTGAATTTGTTTCAGAATAAACTTCATTATATAAAAGCCGATGTTATATAAATTGTTCATATTTATATAAACAATTTTTAAACATTTTCCTACAAAATAGTTTTTCAAACTAAATAATTATAACATCAGGTTGAATTTAATACTGAGACATAAAAAAAATCATAAATGTTCCATAAATGTTATACCAATCAATATTAAAAAAATTATAAAAACTGAAAAAAAGATGTGTACACTACATTTATTTATTTCACTCTAATCATACTTTACAATAGTTCTATACATGCTAAGTGTAATAAGCTAGGAAGAGTGTATTATTGCATTAGTCATTAGATTTCAACAAATAAGACTATAAAGTGATCAGAAAATTGATTTTATATTAAACAAGCTGAGAAAAAAAACTTTTTACAGATTGGAGAATAGGAAATTTAAGTTTAATTTTCAAACTTTAGAGGGATAAAAAAACAAATTCAGCACTATAAATAATAGGCATTCTTTACCTAGGCCTACTTTAAATATGAATTGTTTATAGACCAACTTAAAAGATTAGTTTGCTTGAATCTACATTGATTTAATGTGAAACTTCAAGAACTTTGGAGATTTTCATTAAATATCCAAGAAAATATGTCATATTGACTTTCTGCTTACCATATAATTGTCTGTTATGAATATGTTATACAGACTGTTGGTAGGATATGTACTCACAATCACTTGCTAAGAGGTTCTACGATACAATAGTAATACACTCAATGGTCAACAATTTTTTTTTTTTAAATTGTAACCCTCATTGTAGAACAATTCAGTGAGGAATAGTTTTAAGGCCAAATTTGGAGAGCAAGCAGTCAGCACTCAAAGTAATAAAAAATTAAATTGGTCCCAGGTTTAGGTCTTATTGTGGAAATACTCTAATAGCTTTTTCCTTGGTATGTGATATTCGCTGCAACACTACAAGTTATTGTTTTCATAGGGTCCATAGCAATATATGTGATAACATGATCTAGATTTTTGAATATAAGAGAATTATTTTACCGAGAAACAGATTTTAGTATTTAAAAAGTTAATAGTTAGCTGAAGCTTATTTTAAGGACTGAAGAAAAGGAACAATTGAAAAGCAGGTGTGGAAAGAAAACCATGTTGGAATAAGACCTCCTGGGCGTCCCAAAAAGAGGTTGAGAGATGAAGTGTCCAAAGATATGAGGAATGTGGGAATCATGTGAGTAAGAGTAATAAGGAAAAGAACCACCCTGTTGTATTTTTTGGGCAAACGTTAACTTAAGAATAACAGAACAGGAGGAACTTAAACCTTAGTGAATACATAAAAGGGTAGTTTTTTGTCAGAATAGGTGAGAGAAATGTTAAAACTGGGTAGTATTACAATCTCCATTGGAATCGTCTACTTGAGATAACAAACAACTCTCAGTTTCGACAAAAATTAAAAATTTTCCAAAATTAAGCCGGGTTTTCCTAGGCACGGAAGTGGAGCCTGGACACCTCTTGTCTTAGGTAAGTTGTATTGTTTTCCTAGAAGTGGAGCGGAATGCCATGTTAATCGCTTCTCCGCTCTCCACCCTCCACTCTCCACGCTCCTCTCCCGCGTCTAGGAAAACCCGGATTTAAGTAAGTCAAATGTACGAAATTATAGCTTCCAAATAATTCTTTTTGTCGTACAATTTCTCTAAAGATAATCGCAAATTTAGTGGCTTTTACCAGTACATATACAACAAATGATTCTGATTCTAAATTAGAATGGTTATTGGCAGGGCCAGGGGCAGGGGCGCAAGAGGTTTTAGGTTTGTTGAGGGCCCCCACGATGTAGGTGGAGGGGCACGATTAGCTCCCATAGCGGGCCTGGTTGTTGGTACCCTTAGCAAGTGACTGCAAGTCTGTAGAGAAAGGCAGGTGTATTAGCATGCTTAGTTACTACTGTACCATCAGGCCTAACTGAGGCTGCCCAAAAGTCAGTGCTGGGGTGGGGATCTGGAACTTGCCTCCGACCTCACAAAACAGAACACAACAAATAAGAGATCTCGCCACACACATCAAACTAAATAAACAAAAAAACAACCAAAAATAAGACAACACCACATCCGTCTACTGGTTAATATCAGCCAAGTAAATCTGAAGCCATACAGTAACTAAGCAATACATATTGGTAAGCTGACTACTGTAAAATGGGACAGAAACTGACTGGTGTAATATGTAATATGTGTAGTGATTTACTTAACTACTACACCCTTTAGTGATAACTCGTTTTGTACAGTGAAAAAAATCATGTTATTACTTTAGTTGGATGGTTAAATATTTGTTAATTTTTTATGATAAGACTTGAAGTATCAAAAGAGTTCGAACAAGAAACTTGTATGTTGAGACAGAAACAGTTTTGTAAACAACATAATAAACTATGATGGTAAACATTTATACAAATTTTGACAAACTCTTGAAACAACTAGAATTATGAAAATATTTTGAGAAAGTATTTTTAACACATATAACCAACCAATCAATGTCCCTACTAATAAAATATTCTCTAGTACAGGATTAGAAGTCACAAATTGTTAAATAAAAACTCTATTTAAAAAACTTTTAGGAACAACACATTTAGAATTGGAGTTGTTATGACCAAGGCATTTATTTCACAATTATTATGTCATAAGTTATACCTATAGATATATCTTTACAAATCTTCATTTTTTATTCAAAAGACAACTGTTTGGAAATGAAAAGACCATTTTAAAACTAAAAAATAATAAAATAAAACAAAATATCATCAGGCTAGGTGAAGATATGTGCTTTGAAGATAAAGCAGGTTTCATGCAAGGGACTACTTCCACTTAGAGGGTCAATATGTAAATCACTAACCATTAACAAACAGTGTGAATATAAAACATGAAAGTTAGATAGTCTATTTTAAAATTGATAAAAAAACAATTATTGGATGTAAAATTAGTGGTAAATATCAGCAGCCATTGTTGTAAATAAGGAAAACATGGGTGACAAAAAAGGTCAGATCATAAAAGTTTTTTTAAAATTGTATTCCTCTTAGAGTAACTTTTATTTATCTAAGGTAAAATACTTTAACATGTTTATTTTACTAAAATATCTTGTAAGTTTGATTTTAAAATGAAATTCAAGACTCAGTTCACTAATTGAAATAGTTTTAAATCATTGTAATAGTAAAAATCAGGAGGACATTAGATTTAAGATTTGTTAACAAAAACACAATTTATTTTTGATGAATTTGTTTAAAAACCCATGAGGAATCAAAAAAAAAAATAGTTTTTTCAAACCTTGCAATGCAATTACTGTACTCAAAAGTACTCTGTATTTTCCAAGTTTAACTCTTTTTTCCAATCAAACAAACATCAATCGTGTTTGATGCTGGTGGCAATACAGTAAACATGTTGATAACTTCCTTTACACACGAGTGGTTGAAGATATTAATATAGTTGAAGATACTGTGTGATGTTCATCAACCTGTGTGATGTTCATCTTTGAAAAGACACAAATTCACAGAGTCCTTGTATTGCACTTGACATTTTAGAAACTTGGTTCTGTGTTGCTAGGAGGGTTTTGACCATTTACCTCTGAATTAATTACAGCTTACTGAAGTTAAAAAAAAATTCCTATAGGGAAGTAGCTATTATCGTAGGTGGCACGGTAAGACCTGGAGACGGAACTGATGTACTTTTTCATTTTGGTGTCCCTAGAGGCCAAAAACACTATTCGTTCAAATTGTTATATATGTTTACGCCCGTGAACTTGGGTAATTTTTCTCCGATTTTGATGAAAGTTTGTTTGAAGGTGTAAGGTAGGATAAACTTGAATGAGTTCACGAACCAGCATGATCGGACCATGGGAACAGGGGTTTACGGGGTTTTTTTTTGGTAAAAAATGGTTTTTCTAATTTTTGACCCTCAAAACACAAAATTTCTCAATTAATCTCTAGACCATTTTAAAGAGCTTAAAAAACAAATAATTTTATATTAAAGTGTTTTTGTACGCTTATTAGTTTTGGAGAAAATTCAAAAAATTGCAAATTAAAAATTCCCATGTTATTCTTATGGAGAATATTGTAAAATGTTGTAGTTTGCTTGTTTATGGAAATATTTTGACCAAACTTGGCAAATGTATTTATTTTATAGTAAGCTACTAATATTTTACTAAAAGCCACACTTAATTAGCCTCCTTGTATCAGCAAACCTAGGTACTCGTTCAATTCGGGCAAATGGAAATTCGTTAGTCCGCAGGTTTGCTGCGGCGGGGTATTTTACTGTAAAGTTGATACCAGTTTTAGATTCAAAATGGACTTAGTTGAATTGAGTTACCAACAGGTTGATGAAAATTGCTGATTTCTGTTAGATTTCCTTTGTTGTTGTTACCTGTGTTATTGAGTAGATAGGATGTTTGTGTCACCCTATGCATTTCACCAGCTTGTGTGGCATCCTCAGGGATATAGGTTATCTTTTTATCTTTTTATCAAAATCACAGGCAACAAAGGTAATCTGGTAAAATTCTAGTTCTTGAAACTGGTATAGCAAAAAATATATGCTGATTTCTGTTGAATACGCCAACTTTCCTACCAAGTCAAACTGATGAGCTAGAACATCTTTTATTTGACATCAACTATCTCAATAACAGAAAATGAGGGGGAAATATACTTTAGTGCCCTGTGAATAGATCATTAAATTAAGTTCCTTGACTTTTTTCGTAAAAAATTGGCTTCATCTGATCGATTAAGGGATGTCTACTTTAATACCAAAATGTAAATGACAACATATCCTAGTGGAAGCAGACCCAGTCTAGGCTACAAGACTGACATACCACGGTAGGCACCTGTCCCGGAACTAGAGACTGTCCCGGCGTTAGACCCATTTGCTGCATCAGCGCATTCTTCAGCGCGAGGTGATTCCTCCCGTTGATCAGCAGCTGATCCTTGAGATGTTGAGGTGGATGGAAGTACTTGCATGGTGGCTTGTCCCGGTTACACCGGCCCTGGAACAAAACAGACTACGTCAGGCTTCCAGCAGAAAATAATGTGACATATTAAATACTGTACTAGTGAGTGATGATAGTTAGACACTGAAGCTTTGCTGGAGAAAGATCGGACCTTCACACTTGCCATGACGCTGGCTTGATCATTTGCAAAAACCTGTCATGAACCAATCTCGGATGATAAAGACGGACACCGAAGCTTTGCTGGAGAAAGATCGGACCTTCACACTTGCCATGACGCTGGCTTGATCATTTGCAAAAACCTGTCATGAACCAATCTCGGATGATAAAGACGGACACCGAAGCTTTGCTGGAGAAAGATCGGACCTTCACACTTGCCATGACGCTGGCTTGATCATTTGCAAAAACCTGTCATGAACCAATCTCGGATGATAAAGACGGACACCGAAGCTTTGCTGGAGAAAGATCGGACCTTCACACTCGCCATGACGCTGGCTTGATCATTTGCAAAAACCTGTCATGAACCAATCTCGGATGATAAAGACGGACACCGAAGCTTTGCTGGAGAAAGATCGGACCTTCACACTCGCCATGACGCTGGCTTGATCATTTGCAAAAACCTGTCATGAACCAATCTCGGATGATAAAGACGGACACTGAAGCTTTGCTGGAGAAAGATCAGACCTTCACACTCGCCAAAACGCTGGCTTGATCATTTGCAAAAACCTGTCATGAACCAATCTCGGATGATAAAGACGGACACTGAAGCTTTGCTGGAGAAAGATCAGACCTTCACACTCACCAAAACGCTGGCTTGATCATTTGCATAAACCTGTCACGAACCAATCTCGGATGATAAAGACGGGCACTGAAGCTTTGCTGGAGAAGGGTCAGACCCTCAAACTTGAAACAACACTTAATCGTTTAAAAAATTAACTTTTTTATGAGGAATTCTTTTGATTCGTTGTCTATTATTATTAATAATAAATTCTGACTAATCCTACTATATATATATATATATAATATTATAAATGAGAAGTTTGGATGTATGGATGTATGGATGTATGTTTGTGACAAGTGAACGCGAAAAATACTGGTCGGATTGGGCTGAAATTTGGCATGATGACAGCTCACATTCCCGATTAACATATAGGCATATTCTTATTTCAAAAATCCTTTCGGGCTCCGCCCCAGTGGCTCTGGAGTTTCCCATGTTAACCTTATGAGAAATGGAATTATTGAATCTTAAGAGCTGTTTCAATTAAACAAGTTGGTTCTGTTCTATGATGTTCAATAGCATTAAAGTTACAAGGATTACCAACAGGGTGCAGCACTATTATTTCTTTTACACTTATGACAACAGCTAATTTGCAACCAAAAGGTGAGTGAGCGTAGCGAACGAACTTCAACCTGGAGGCGAGTTAGCGTAGCGAACGAGCTAACCTGAAGGCAAGTGAGCGCAGCGAACGAGCTCCAACCTAAAGGTGAGTGATCGTAGCGAACGAGCTCCAACCTAAAGGTGAGTGAGCGTAGCGAACAAACTTCAACCAGGACGTGATTGAGCCATGCGAACGAGATAATCTTGAAAATTAAGAAGTTAAACGGGGCAAAGCCCGCGGGTTACAGCTAGTATATTATATAATATATTTCAGATCAACTTGTTTTCTTTGTGTTTGTGTGTTTTGCAGAGTGAGTATAGGGAAAAGTGTGATGCTAATTGTAGCATCTATAGCCTACTAACTACCAGTGGATTGCTTCCTAAGTGTAATTGATCAGAAATGTTACATTTCCATAGGAAAAAAAGTTTTCAGAGATTGAATTTCAGTATGAGGTTCTGTAGAAACTAAAAGCAGAGTCAACAACAAAAGAAGAACTTTGAACATAAATGAAAAAGTATACATGCTTTATCAGCCTTGAGGCCAGAGGAGTATTAGGGTAGCATGGAGAAAAATGCTACAACTTTAAGTATAAGGAAATGTCCCAACTGGAAAAATGAGCAAATTAAAGATATGGTATTTTTATGCAAAAATAAAAATATTACTGTTTGCTGAAATTTGTTTTACTGATACCTTCAACAATATTTAAGAATATTAAAGACTCGGAAATTTAAACACAAGTAGTAAAAGCCACAATCCCAGAAACATCTGAAAAACTTTTCACGAAGGGAACATGGAACACGTTTACATGAAGCCATAACATAAGCGAGAGAATATTTCTGCTCAGGTAAGGGTTGTAGGGAGGTGAGGGGGTGAGGGGGGTCTCTAGGGGGCACTAACTGTAATGGTGCTACACAATGATTTATGCTGTTAATTAAACAGCTACAGTGAGCCCAATTATTGGGGCCACACCATGTACGAAAGAAACATTACCCCGGGCAATTAGCTGCCATCTCAACACCATATCTGAGGTGCCGGAGCCCCTGTTGGGTGTTAGAGACGATTTTACAAGTTACATAAAAAATTGTTGGATTATAAAAGCAACTGATTATCATAAAATTTAATTAAGATTTTAACTTCCCTTTCAACTCAGACTGAACAGAAACTCCTTTACAACATTAAAGATTGAATGAAATTCCTGAGAGCAAGTGTCTAAAAATCATTTCAGAATTCAGTCTGTATTTCAAATTTGACCTAGTGTCCCCAGGCTTCCAAAGTTCTGAGCAGCACAGGAAAATAAATATTGATCGACCGCTTTAAAAAAGAAAACAAAAAACTACAAATCTCACATTTGATATTCATAGTTTCCTAAATAACGCAGTCAATTTCAACGCTAACGACTAATTGAATAAGAAGTTATAAATTTTGTAAAACTAAGTACACTACATTTTCCACTTAAGAAACCTTTGACTGTAGATAAAATGTACCATATTCTATAATCAGTACCGGTAGTTGATACCGGTAGTATATAACATACCTATGTTAGTAGAGAGAGGCAGGTGGTGTACAATACACTCTGCTTCACTACATATTTGACATCCACTTGATTGTTTGATGTCTTTGTAGATGTTCAGTATGTCTTAGAGACATTGAGATACGGTCAAAACACTGCTGAGGATTTGCGTAGTATAAAAATAAATCATAGTTTTAAATTTGCACAGTTTGTAACTACAATGGCTTATCAGCAGGGGGTTTTAAACAGCGTAAATCTATGAGCAGGAGATTATTTTTGTCATAGTAAAAAAAAATTAATAAAGATGGTTTGGTTCTATTTGTTTGTATTATTCAATCAATTATCAATTATTGAGATGGGGACACCACCTAGGTACATATTTTTAAAAATATGAGTGAAAGATTAGTGTAGAGTGGTGTTAGATGCCACTCCAAACACACAGATAGTGTTTTAGTGGGGTTTACATCTGAGTATTGTGTAAAGCTTTGTCACTAGCTGACTAAGATCAGCTGTTTCATTAGCCAGTATCATTTATTTAAAGTCCAATGAACAGGAACAGCTGGGTTCAGTTTCGAACCATCAAAAGGCTACTGACTTTTCTCAGGATCGAACCAGCGGCCTTTTTAATGTTGTTGCAGGATATTCTTTTGCCCTGAAGAGTTGTTAGAAAAATGTCAATCACCTAACTTAATGTTCAAAATGTTCAATCATCAAAAACTATTTGGACAGTGTGATGAAACCATTATCCATTACCAGGAGTTTTTGTTTTTACTGATAGGTTTTGCCTTCTTCAAGGAAAAAAAAAAAAAAAACTACTACCTTGTGATAAAATTACGAGTGTATTTTAGAATAAGTTACAATTTTAATCTGTTTGACAAGTGATAACTTCAGCAGTGACATAACAATTCTCTATTTTATTTTGTTTGATTCAAAATTGCTCTAAAAAATAGGTATGATGACTGACGACACCCAACAAAAAGTGATTTCTCATAGAAACGCTCAACAAATGAATAATAACTAGAAACACTCACACTACAAAGGTGAATGCGAGAGAAGTGTGAAGGGAGTTTAAACTGAGTTGCGGAGGAAAATGAAGTGGAGACTCACTTTGGGGCACAATCAAGTGAAGTGGTAGTGAAAAACCACTTGTTGTGACTTTTGTGCCATCTCTCCGCTTCAGAAATGTTTTATAAAGACTTTCAAAACGTGTATGGAAGCGTTCTTAAAGCCGTGACAAAAACAAACTCTTCAATGTAAAAGTGAGTTCGGTTTTAAATAAAAATTATTGTTTTGTTGAGTTTGATATTTTGTTCAACTTTAAGATGTCATATTTTCTTTGGAATTAAATTAATGTGTGAATGACTAATAAACTTTACATTCATATAGTTATTTTTAAAGTTTAGTTTACTTGTGGCCAGCGTAAAAAATGAACACAATTATCACAACCCAAGTTCATAAATCTTCATTGGAACACTACACATCTGGTTAGTGATGTAAATGTTCTGATGATTAAATTATTATTTTTACCCCAGTGCCAAGCAAAATATAACAATATTGGGGTAAGTATTTACTCTTATGAAGAAAGTATTATCGTTAACGCATCCAATAATGTTGTATGCATATTTCATTGTTATATTATACCAGTGGCAATACAGACTAAGAACCGACCACAACATCTATAGCCATCCTCGACCGTGGAGTGTGGAGTGTTTCTGAGAGCATACAACATAAATATTTAAACCTGTAAAGAGTTGCAGAGGCGGGATGTTACTGTGGGAGTTTAGAATGCAGCTTCTATTGTGTGAGTGAGTGTGGGCAGTGAGTGGCTAGGCCGCTGTGTTGGGTCTATGTCTATAGTCTGTATGATGGAACCTGGCCAGTCCCAGGTAGATGTAGGGTCAGGAGACAGGTTCCTTCATACTCTTTTGTTTTTTGTACAGACTATAAACTCTAGCATTGATCAAGTACGATAGAGATCGATGGTGTAAAGATAAAGTCTAAAACTTTAAAAGCCTATATTTTGTTTACAGGCTAATTTTCCAGTAGCGAGTGGTTGACTTAATACTTTACAAAATGTAAGTGCAATCGTCTTGGATATGCAGACAGATAAAAAAACTCATTGTAGCGTCGTTGTATGTCTAATGGTTACG